AAACCCATGCTTATAGGTTTCTGGCATGCATAAGGGAGGTAACTCTGGGGGGTGTATTGTGCCATAGATGGGCCTGTCCTTACCCAAGGATGTTGCAAAATGTAAAAGTTGGTATCCAAGGTTAGATTACTGGTTCAATAGCTGATGTGACCATTATGCATTCAAACCCTCAGGAATTTATTCCCCACATGGGTAATTTTGCGAAGCTCATTTCTGGTGTCCCACGCAGTGAAATTGCTTGAATATTGCTAAAAGCCGCGTAAAACCAAACCCACTTACCCAGGAATTTAGTCATAGGAAGACCTGCAGAGAGGTAATTATATATTATCTTATCATAATGACAAGATGACCCAGGAAGATCCGGTTAGAATTGGTCACCAGCAACCCATACTGGTTGTAAGAGGTGAGTAACGGGATTGGGTGGTCATTCTCGCTGAATTTGTTGATGCGTGTCATCTTTTCCCAATTGTGTAGATTGATGCTCATAGTGTTAATCACTGGATTGTCTGGTCCAGACTCGATTATTTACTGAATGCTGTTAAATAGCTGAAAATTGCTGGGTGTGGCGTTCAACAATAATCAAAACCGACAATCATTCGTGCTGATGTTGTTAATCACTGGATTGTCTGGTCCAGACTCGATTATTTACTGAATGATGTTAAATAGCTGAAAATTGCTGGGTGTGGCGTTAAACAATAATCAAAGCCCACAATCATTCGTGCTGATGATGTTAATCACTGGATTGTCTGGTCCAGACTTGATTATTTACAGACTGCTGCCATACAGCTGGAATATCTCTCTGTGGCACCAAACAACAAACAAACAAAACACATGTACAGATTTACATTATATTTCAACTTTTTGTATGAAATTGGGAACTGAGGGGTTAATTATTGTAAAATATATATAATTGCAAATATGTGACACATAGACCCGTTCATCTGTTGAAAGACCACCCGTTACCAGCTTCTGCATGAAAGCCCTATGTCAGCAGTTTGGTAAAGACTTCACAACTATTCAGCAGTTGACCCTCTCAGATACAAGCAGCACTGGTAGTATATTTACAGGATTTCATACCTCTGAGAGAGTCAACCACCTTAAATTTAGCAAACAATGAAATGACCACTTTAGTTATATGGACATATTTCTGTCAATGATGCACCATGAAAGCAAGCAACCTTTGGCATTGGAAATCGTTACCAAACTGACCATGTTTCATAAAATAATCTCTTATTTACACCATCTGTTTCTCTTTTCACAACTGTTCAACAAGATACAAACAATACATAAGGGTGTATATATATACATGTGCAAATGAGGATAGGTAAACACTGAACCAAGGTAGCCAAGGCCACCTAGCAGCCCTGGATGTCTACAAGCAGATACATGTACAGCCATGGTGTACAGGGACCCTTGGCCATCCAGTCTGGGTGTTCTCTTCCGTCAAATTCATTTGAATGTGTCCATTCTGAATTTACGCTAACCATGGTTTTGATTGATTCCACCTTTCTGGATTTTCAAAGATCCACTGTCTTTACAGAAATGATCTGATGAGATGCAAGGACACAAAATACAATAATTCAGTCCTAACAAGATACTGTTAGTCAATAGAAGTGTCCACAGTGAATAATACCTAATTACACTACCTATATTTCCTATCCTGCTCTGTACAAGTTAACATTGCCTTCCTGTCTTTACAACAGTGACTGTGTTTATCATCTTGGTATGATAAACAGTGACTGTCTACCATTCTGATCTGAACAACAATCCCTGTGTCTCCCATCTCAGTCTGAACAACAATCCCTGTGTCTCCCATCTCAGTCTGAACAACAATCCCTGTGTCTCCCATCTCAGTCTGAACAACAATCCCTGTGTCTCCCATCTCAGTCTGAACAACAATCCCTGTGTCTCCCATCTCAGTCTGAACAACAATCCCTGTGTCTCCCATCTCAGTCTGAACAACAATCCCTGTGTCTCCCATCTCAGTCTGAACAACAATCCCTGTGTCTCCCATCTCAGTCTGAACAACAATCCCTGTGTCTCCCATCTCAGTCTGAACAACAATCCCTGTGTCTGAACAACAATCCCTGTGTCTCCCATCTCAGTCTGAACAACAATCCCAATCCTGTGTCTCCCATCTCAGTCTGAACAACAATCCCTGTGTCTCCCATCTCAGTCTGAACAACAATCCCTGTGTCTCCCATCTCAGTCTGAACAACAATCCCTGTGTCTCCCATCTCAGTCTGAGGAACAAATTCACATTACTTACAACAACAAAAGCTAAACGTGATGAGCAGAAGATTTTATCCTACCCACCCCGAGAGTATGCAAAGGTCGGACCGTAAGGGTTTTCTTGTGGCAAGGGAGTTCACTGATCAAAATTCCTGCTTCTACTCTTTCCGAATTAGACTCATTTCAGCTTGATCATAGTGTCACTGGTGGCTACTACGACTTATGTCTCTCCTAGTGACCAATCAGATATAATATATCATATCACTTGCATTTGCTTCAAACAAAATGACATCTCTGTCATCAACAATCAACATCTTTTGACTCTACTCAGCCTTGTGTCATATTTTCCGCCCCACAGTAACAAAACAGGTCTACTGCAAAATGTACCAAGACACTTGAGCACCTTGATTCATAATGGACCCAGAATTTCCCAAGATAACAATGAGAGATACTGGAAAAATGGATGAAATATTCACAAACCATAAATAATACTTAACCCTACTCAGACGGAGGCACATATAATACATAACAATCCTAAGTTTGATTGGAAGGCGACAAGGTGTTGGCATTCATCGTATAGATCAAGTCTACACACTGTACATTACCAGCATTATATCCTACATAGTCTAACAGTTAAGAACACTCCATACAGGGAAACATGGATAGATGGAACAATTATGAAAACAATGCAAGGCAACACTGTTGTTTTAAATTGGTTTACAGATCCAACAAAATTACAAAATATAGGTGAGATCGAGAAGTGAATCTGAAAAACTATTTTACACTTCTTTAAATGTCTCTTATTTTATTTCCACCCCCTTCCAACAAGGATTTTTCACAAAACAAACCTGTAAACCAAGAAATAAACAGTGTGGCCTCAAGGATGTCTTCTAAACACAGCTGGTATATATTGATATAAATGAATCCAATAACAAAACTTAAACCAGTCACAATGTTGGCATCTGGACCCAAAGCAAGCAACATTGATCCAATTGACCTTGTTGCTCCCTACTTCCTCCCACCCTGTACAATACCCTCTCAATCTGGCAACATCATCTTATCAACTTCCCATAGTCTAAGACATATGTTCAAAATTATATTGTCTCTTGCAGTCCTTTTGCCTTCCTCCTCCCAAACATAGCCTACTTATCACGCAGTTGGTGCCAGTCTTGTTTACATCACAGATTCTTCTGACAGTGATACAAAAACATACAGTATTCATATATTTCCAGCAGAGTGGAACCCTTTTTATCTGGACAACTGCTTTTTGGAAATCAATGTCTGCACTGATATGGATATCTGAATATGATTGATGCTGACAGTTCAAAACTTTTGAAGACTATTACGGACATGTTATCTTAATGATACACATTCTGACACTGACTTATTAATCAACTTCACGCTTCAATAGCCTAACAGTTTCTACTTAATGTGAAAATACTGTGTTCTATGAACACTAGCTCCTTTCATGTAGGATGCCAAAATATTTCAAAGAAACAATGTCAAACATTTCGCTGCTTAAATGGACCAGTTTCACACTAGTTAGAACAATTTGCATCCAAAAACTCAAATTGAAAAGAAGAATTAGTCACTTTAAATAGTACAAGCATTGTTTTGAAGTCATATTGTATTGAAAATTATTGACTGTGAAGCAGTGACTGAAAAAATACCATGGCCTTTATCACCCACCCAACCTTTATCAAATGGTGACACCCACAGCTACAACCACGGGGGTTCAAATTACATAATGTGTATTTTATGTAAGACCAGACCAATTTTATTTCTTGTTTTATGGATTTTTGTACTCAAAAAACCTGAAGGCAGGAGGGAAAAAAATAAAAAAATAATATAAATAAATAAATAAATAAATGCTAAAAGTATTTTACTTTTGGCAATCTAAAAAGTGTATATGGGGCAAAACACAATCTAAAAAAAACCTTTTCCTGTAAATTTACATTTTTGACCAATAACCCAAACACCCATAAACATTAGGATTTTATTTTAAGAACGGGGAAAATCAACTTTTATTTTTTTTCTTACCGGTATTCTTGAAAAAATACAACAGGTGGATCCGTGAAACAAGAAATAAAATTGGTCTGGCCTAATGAGTGTTGTGGTAGAATTTTCTAAAATCTTTATTTCTTCACCAAGTTTGTTCAAATTTGAAATATATGTTAATCATAACATATAAAAAAACAATATATGATCGCAAAAGTCTAGATTTTTTGATTTTTTAAAATAAATTATTGTCCGAACAGTGATTTGAACCCCTGTGGCTGCAACCCTTATCCAAAAATGCATAACAATTTCTCCCACTATTTATCAACACACACAATAATCACAACAAAGTTACTTGTGATACACTGTCATATTAGGAATGACAAATCCAAATAAATTAAAATCACGTCTTAATAATCATGTGTAACTGGATAAGAGAGAGTAATTTAAAATGTCTGCTGAAAAACATTTTTTGGTATTCAGTTCCTAAATCTGCCTACAGATTGATAGGTTGTCAGTGAAACAAAAATAATGGACATAAATTGTGAAATTTCTGCTCTTTTTTCAGATATTATACTTCTGGCAATCCCTATTTTTCTCATATTAAAAGAAAGTATGATGTTTGTCCATTTCACCAGGTGTAATGCTGTCTCAGTAAGATCTCACAACACAAGAACTATTTATACATATGTACATATAGCCACATGAGAATACAAGATGAACTATATATTTCAAGCATACAATAATAAAATAAAACAACAACAATCAACAATAGTCTGTACATACTTTTATTGAGATGCATCACACTCAGTGTTTCTTCTTCAATTCAACTGTGTGAAACACTGACTAGTGACGATTATCATAATGAAAATGCATTTCTGTGAAAATAGACGATATTGACAAAACACTTAAGCGCACAATAGATGATATCAAACATACAAATATATCCATACAAAGTTATGTCACAAAACAAATAACAAACAAATAATGGGATTTCATACAAAAGAGGGTTACAATTAATGTTCTTTGGATGGAAAAACATGACCGAAGTAAACAATGCATGCAAGTTCAACATTGAATGAAAAATATTTGTTACCATGGTTACCTGAACATTGCTTCCTTTTGTAATGAAAGTAGCAATTTCTAAAATGGCCAGGTGAATCTAGCAGTTTTCCCATAAAGAGCAACTGATCGTTCCAAATTACACACAAAGTTTATGATACAATAGATCAATAGAATTTTAATAGAACAAACTAGTTATCTAAAGGAGATTGTGTAAAGATCACCTGAAAAGGTACAAAATATATTCGTTTGTGAGTCAGCTGAAAGGATTTAGCCAACTCAACTGACTTTGTCCAGTTGTCCAATATCCTACATAAAAATTAATATTTTACAGAAGGTATTAACACTAAATACTTCTGGCATCGTGATAGAAGATCTACAAGCATTTCACAAAATATCAATAGCAATTAAGAAAAATAATTGATAAAGAAGACAAAGCTGCCAAAATTTCAGATAGGGCATATCAATAAATGCATTGAAATAAATTATGATTACAAATAAAGTAATACATAGCAAACTGCGTTTTGCTTGAGTCAGACTATTATTGAATCGGAGATGCGACTATGCCGTCGATGAAATCACAGCTATCCTCTGCTGACAACTCTGTCAAGTCAACCTGTGGCATCAAATGTCCTTGTTTGAATAATTCACAATGTCAACAGGTTCACATGCTCATTTCTTCCTAATGGGAAGTCCCCCGGACGGATCCCCTTTCTCATAAGTGGCAATCACTTTGTTGACAAAGTCAGTTGTATTGCCGGCAATCATTTCTTCTGTAAAAGAAAATAAACCCATTATTATTTGGTCGTTCTTGATCAAATTCCACTATGTACAAAGAAAGCTGCATTGTCTGTTACATATCTATAACTAGACATTAAAAGGAAACCATCCTGAACATAGAAATGGTGGAGATGAAATTAAAACCAATATATCTTATAATCAATGAACTGAAAACATAGTTCATATCTTCAAGTGATGTGGTGTGCCCCATAAAATTTCTGATAGTCTAAAATCTTCAGTTCAGCATCAAATTCTCTTCATCAGTTGAGAAAGGCACTGGATAAAGAATATAATCTTTGTCTCTCATGTTGACTTTTCTTTGTATTTTAGATCAAAAGACATTCTTCTGCAATTCATCACATCCAGATGCTGCATTTCTTGTCAACAATTTCCTGAATGATTTTCTAAGAGGCAAAATATTGCTTGTTTTATATTTACGATATTGATTCCTATGCTAGTCAACATCACTTTTATTGCTAAGGTAAATGGCACTTTGACATTTAACCAGCAGTTTCTCTAAATAGGTTAGTAGTAGCTCAAACAGATTTGTTGTAAAATGAGAGCTTATCGGACAGATCAAGACAGAATAATTAAATTCTGTCACGATTTCCGAAACACTTATTTCCTACAGCACAATTCCTCCCCCAGTTTCCAAAATTAGTCCAGGTGTGACAATCACAGACGATATAATTCCATTTTGAAATCATTCTTGAAGGACAAAGATTTTCTACTCCTACAGATATTGTGAAATAACAAATACCGATACAGACAAATATTGCGCAGCAGCAGATAGTATTACTTCTCATACATGACTAGTGATAACTACTGAATAGTCATGCTTGTTTGTTGTTTGTGTAGTCTCAGTACCCACATGGTTTAACTGCTATCACACACAACCCCTCTCCCCAAACCTTGCAGTCACTCAATACAAAAGTAAATACGATCCTGTCACCAAAATGGTTTCTTTTGAAAAAATAATAATATGTTGATTCAAATATTGCAACAGATATTTTTGTATGATTTTTGTTATAAATGCGTTTTTAAACACATTTTCACTGTGATGACATACAGAGAAGCACTTACTGAGATGGGTTTTGATGAGTTCTTCAAGTGTCTCGACAAGTGATTGTTGTGGAGTTATCTCCTCCTTCTCTAGGAGGCGCGCTTCTTGAGGTCTGCTTTTATGTGCACCATCACCTCCATCAGTTGTCCTGTAAAACACACAGGTATATAGTGCTTGCTTCACATCAGTTACCTGTACCAAATAAGGGGCGGTGGGGTAGCCTAGTGGTTAAAGCGTTCGCTCGTCACGTGGGTTCGATTCCCCACATGGGTACAATGTTTGAAGCCCATTTCTGGTATCTCCTGTCGTGATATTGCTGGAATATTACTGAAAGAGGCATAAAACTAAACTCACTCACTCAGTTCCCTGTACCTAAATAATGTAATTATGATTGGTGTGTTGTATCAATCTGCATAGAGTCCCACCATGACACTTGAGACTTATAATACTGTGAAGTTCTTTTTCTTCTTGTTATTATTCACAATATTTTACAAGCAGCAATTACAGTTTCATAATACCTTCTTTTTCAAGCTAATTTCATCAAACACAAAATCACTTTTGGCATAATTGATTCAACTCAAGTCTAACTTTTCACTGATTTAATTAAGCAGTGTATAATACACTATTAACATGATCCAGGAGGGTTTGTAACTTAATCAGTTGTCAGAAAACATTTTTCTGAGACACTTACCGTGTTCTTTTTCCAGACCGAACAACTTGACTTTGTTAGCTTCATGCTGTGCCTTCTTTTTCAACCGACAAGCCCTGTAAAAGACAGAGTTACATGAAACAAACAGAATATTTAATTATACATCATCACAAGTGACAGGCAAAGTTTATAATCATATTACAATATTGTTTGTCCCCACATTTTGGCTGATTCTCTACTGTTTATATATTACCTTGTTTACATACTTGACATAGATAATGATGTATAATCCTGACATGTCACGTGACACCACTCACCTTGATGCCAGCTTATTTTTCTCCTTCCTTGACTGGTTCCTTGCCGATGCCGTGCTCTCACCCAGCGATGTCACTTCGTTAATTTTGCGATTGAGTCGCTTGATCTGCATACCGATCTGGACGAGTCGTTTGGGGTTTGGCTGAACATCATTCCCATCTCCCTTCCTGGCTTTACCCCCATGGCGGATACCGGGCCACTTGAGTATTATTGGGGTCAAACACAGGGTCCTCGAAGTTCTTCAGATGGTGTGGATCCGAGCTGTCCAGCTCCAGTCGGAGTCTTGTACCTTTAGGTCCTTTTGATTGCACGTTGTACTGCCAGAAATACTGCTTCTCCTTCTTCTTGCCGTTACCCATCAACGACTCCTCAAGGGGAGACAACTGACTTAGCATACCCTCCTCATCTGAGAGGTCATCGTCAAGGTCGGAGTCTCTGTCACTGAACACATCATTGTCTGAATCCTGATCTTCATTGGATGTCATTGCTGAGCTTCCTGAATCTGCGATTACAAAACATGTAAAATAGAAAATATACTAAACTGCTGAGTAAAACTCAGTACAAGCCAAATTAAAAGTGTTGTTGATGTAAATTTGAGCAGCAGACAGATAATGTTTACTCTGGCACAACGCCAAGTATTCAGTCATGCATATGCCATACCAAGTTACCTCCTCATTATATCACTAACAATCAGGCTATATATCAGACATTATAGAAATTCAAAATATGCAATATATTTTCAGTTATAAACAAAAACTATTTTAATTGGTAGTAAAATATAATACAATTTGTAGACATATGATAAAACTAATTCAAGTCAGAAAGACGATACAGGCAAATGACAAGTTATCCCTGACAAACATCAATGGGTTAAATCGTGACGTGTTTTCCTTTGTCGACAGCAACAACTGGACACATGTTTATGACTGCACAGCTGCAACCTTCACCTTACTCACAAACAACATGCTCATTTAAAGTCTTTTTAAGCCTGAAAGAACCTGTTTGCTCAGTGTTTGCCAAATGAAAAATCCATAAAATAGGTTTATCATATATAAATCTTGGACAGTTCAATACATCAAGGACAAAAACAAAGTCTACATTTTGTACAATTCATAGTAAATCCTTTCATGATAAGTAAGGTATATTTCATAACCTAAAGGGATTAACGTATACAATAGGCTATTTTTGTTGTTTTACTATTAATTTCAAAGTGTATCCTTTATTGAGCACCAAAGTGCTTCATTGTGCCTCTCCTGTTGCACATAACTTTGTACTGTCAGTGTAGACACACAGTCTATAACTAATCCTATTCTGTGGGTGAAAATAACATTCCAAGTTTGGACCATCATCTTTTTATGTGATGCTTTCACTTTTGTTTTGTATGTCTAGGAAACAGCTTTGTGTTCCACTGAAGTCCAGTGCGTCTGATGTATTCAGAGCAGCACAAGGAACAGGTCCCTACTTTCACTTTCTGTTCATTTCCAGAACGGGGATGATTACTCCATCTCATTTCTCATAAAAGCCTGCTTCCTTGAAAACACTCGGGTACAGAAAGTAGGGTTTTCCCTGACTCGTTATTTTGTATTACAACAGCTGAATTCAGCCCATGTCTGTATAAACAAGGCAAATCAACCAAGGCACATATAATACAAGCACATATAAACTCCAGTCACTATTTGGCTGAAAAAATGCTACTGCAAGCTTACATTTTCCACTCACTCACGCACATATACACCAACTTTACTTTTCATGCAAGCATTCTTTGATGCCAAAGTCAACTAACTAGCATACTTATCAATTAAAACAAATATCTGACATTTTCTGCCAACAACTGGATATCATTAAAGTGTTTTAACTACATCATTAAAATATTATTATCCAAAAAGGACAAAACATTTTGGTTGAGATGTTGCAATCTGCCACGACACCCACCTGGTTGCCCATGTTCAAAGAAAGAAACGTCATCAGACAGTTTACCATTGTGAGTCTGTGACCAGGGAGGGTTATTATGGGGATAATCACGTGGCCCGCACAAAACAGTACGTCTTTTCATACATTTTTAGGATTGTAATGAAAAATATATCACTAAATTTGAGTGATTATCATAAAGAATGTTTAGTCACAGGGTGTGATTGAGACAGTATGTTATCTTTTCTTCATACACATAAAGATTGTGAATAACTGATGACTAAGTAGACTAAAGCTTCTCTTACCATGCCTGCTCCTCTTGCTCCGTGCTGAAGCTGAGGATTTGGAATCTTCAGACTTCTCGTGGATGTATTTCTCAATTTCCCTCCATTTCTCCTCCACATCCTCACCAAGTTTGGCGACTGTTGCCGACCTCTTGACCCCTGTTTGTACCCCTGTTCTGCTGGGAGTCTGCGGCGACTGTGTGGGCATCGATGACTGGGGTCTACTGAGTGGGGCCACAGAATTCCGCAACAAAAGTTTGTGAAGTGTGGACTTGTCATCAACTGGAAGCGAACCCGTGACTGTGGACGATGGTACTGAGGACTGGACACTTGAAGAGACGAGTGTTGGTGCTGGTTTCTTGACCTTTGTGCTGTCAACTGCCCATGATGCTTGGCTCTGAGAATATGGTGGAGTGAGGTTCATCTGAGAAGCACAACTGGTTGCCAGCTTTGTCACGGGTTGCTGTAAGTCTGATGCTCTGGGCACATTTGTGGACTGGGTACAAAGCAAAGATGACAGTGACACATTGTTATCTCCCTTTGAACACAAAGCACTGTTTGTAGATGTTGCAAATGCTGAATCAGCGTTCACCAAGCTGACCACCTCGTCCAGTAGAGATTCATCCATATTCAACTCGGCCAGTGTTGGTCCATTTGACATATCACAATTTTCCATTGACATTTCCGGATCAAACATTTCCGACTTAACCCAGAATTTGCTTGAAGAAGGTGTCCCTGGATTTCCACCAGAGTCTGTCAGTGACAGATCCAGACTGTTCATCTCATACTGTGGCTTTAAGTCGAAGTCCTCCTTTCCGTGGGTGTAGCTGGAGAGTGAAGGACTACCTAGAGAGCCGTTGATTGAGTTCTGCATGTCATGCTTCTCTTGTTCATACATGTAGAGAGAGTTTGGACTAGCAGCGTATGCTGCGATGTCGGCAGCAGGGATTGTGTGGTCACCGTCACTGCTTGAAAGGTTGTAGAAGTCAGGACCTGGAATAGTGTCCATACTTCCTTGTAACTTTGCCTGCAAAATTGAAAAGAATAAAGTCTATGGAGCAACACACAACATAATTATCACATGAATCTGAAACAAATTGTCTTATGGCTATTGGATAGTGCATGTGTGATTCAAGTTTGCATTAAAAAATATGGCATTGGATCATTGGAAATTATCAGAATAATATTAGATAAATATATACATTATTTAAAAATGGTTATAAAAAACACCAAAAATACCTGTTTGTTTTTTAAAAATAAAGGTAAACATTATCAAACAATATGTAAAATAGAAACAAAATTCAAAATTCAAAAAATAATAAAAAGGTAATAGCAATAAGAAAGGAAACAAACAGATAACGTCTGAAAAACACAAAACTGTTGTAACAAACATGTGCTCCTAGCTTAGGCCCCCCAGACAAGGAGAAGCCCATCCCATGTTTTTCACAACACATCATATCATTTCCATACATAACACTGATACAAACAATCAATACCATGTGGCAAGCAGAAACAGTGAACTGTAACACAACAATCACTACAGTTCATTAAAGGACCCCAGAATACCTAAATAGTCAGTTTCCATTTTGAGCCAGCCATGTGATGGTACAGCCATACTGGCAGCTGAATGCTGGTCCCTGAATAGCTATGACATCACACACAGCTCCATGTGTCACTGGCCAAGAAACACTCCTTTAATTTTCTCAGTGCTTATTTGGGTCAGCCTGTCTTCATGTTCAACCAACCCTTAGGATTATGGTTACTGACCACAAATATGCAGCTTGAATTTTTGAATTTCAAGAAATAATATTTGAAATAACAAGGATGTATTTCATTTAGATATGCAGTGTCATGAAGTTGCAATAAGGAAGACTTGTTGGAAAATTTGAAGAACAGAGCATTCCCAGGGATTTGTACTCTAGTAGGAATAAGTAGGAGAACAGTAACAGTAGTAATGTATATGTCTATACTAAGCAATGGAGTTAGTAAAACAGCAGAGTCAGCACTTTTCATATCTAATGATTGAAGATTGAGCAATCAGGCACTTTTGTCAAAGATTTATCAGTCAATGAAGTAACAGTTTTTAAATGTTGCAACATATTACTGCAAATTTCAGCAGATAAAATAATCTACTTTCATTAGCCTATTTACATCATCATGATAATGCTTGTAAAACCAGTCACATTCACATTCATCTATATTATTCTTCATTACTTTGTAAAATGGCAAATGCCCCTCAAAATATGAAATAAAATTACAAATGATTTTCTTACAACCTCAATCATGTTAATACTAAATAGTTTTCAAACTTCCGATTAAATCCTTGATATCTCATTACATTGATTGCAGGTAGATTCCTACAGGTACTGTACAGGTACATCAATATTTTGAGACAATCTATAAATTTGACAGACAATGATCAGTTGAGAGAAAAACTCCTGAATGCAAGAATTAAAAAAATCAAGTAAAACACCTTAGAATGTTTCAATATTTTTCTACTTTTGTAAACTATGAAGTAGGCTCATACGCGACAAGAAAAATACTAAGTTTTTCAGTATAGTGGTATCTGATCAGCACCACCTGGCATTGTGTAACACTCTGTGTACCAGCAGACACTTGGACCTTGAACTTCCTGTAGCCTCACACACCAGTCTTGTGTGAATCATACCTACAGAGCCCCTCACAAAGAAGCTAAGTGAACCTACATACACTGTCTACTACAGTAGGCCAACAACTTCCTAGTGGCAAACCTGTTCCTAGTCCGTTGTTGACATAACCACCAGTTCTCAGAAACACACCACCTGCTCATTCACTAGAACAGGGTTGATGTTAAGTACAGCAACACCAGGACGTCCTACACAACACTGCCTGTTTTTATGACTCAGCACTTTTGTCTTCCTAGTTCTAATTCCTGTTAGGAAAATATTTGTAAAAGACATTTAACCATGTTTAGGGACCGTTCATAATTTATGGTATGTGTGTGTGCGTGCGTGCGTGAGGGGGTGATGATGATTGTAAAGGGGTGGGGGGTAGGGGGTCATCAATTTTGTACACATGTACTAGGGGGGTTGGGCAGCAATTTGTACATGACATGCAGGGGGGTCACTTACTTTGTACATAAACTGGGTGTGTGTGTGTTCACATTGTACATGTTTCTCCTTAAAATTCATCATCATCAGCCCCCGCTCCCCACAAGCCATAAATTATGAACGGTCCCTTACTAGAACTCAATTTTTGTTTGTAAAATCCATTTAACCATGTCTACTTGAGTAAGTGTGCACTTAGATTTGAATAAGAAGTGTAATGGCAATGATGTCTGTGTCATAGGAAGCCCCACCATCTTCCAGACAGTATTGCTCAATATACACCATTCCTTAAACAGCCTACAAGCCTCGCTCCAAATGTCAGATCAAATTACCCGTACAAGTATTTTGTAAGATAATATTGTGACTTGCTCCATCGTGGGAATGGATTTCACAATTCCCACATAAACCAGTGCAATATAAACTAACACCATAGTAAACAAAGAGTACATGAGTTCAGCAATCCTGTTAAATGTCACCTCCATGCCTGAAGCAAACACCATACTTAAATTGATGGCCATGACCTTTCCCCTGTCCTGGGCACTAGTCAGTGCTGGGCACCGCAGCATCCGGGCAGGTGCCCCGAGAAGTTATGTCTTAGCAACAGTCTATGTTAAAGTATGGGAGTTATTATCACTGTAGGACTAAGATCGCTTAGTACAATGGGACCCTATGTACTCTTAACATAGTCCAAATAATCTGATATGCCCAAGGCTATTAGGTCATGTAGGACTGACTGTTACTTCATCGTGTTCATGAGCGAGTGGTTGATTATTGCTTAACACCGTAACAGCAATCTTCATCTCATATTACTTCATAAACATACTTATCTGTAAATAGACAATATGACTGACATATGTGTAGAGAGTCATATATAAGACCACACAATTTTGTAATATGACAAAATTAAGAGTCAGTCTTTAAAAATTGATTTCTGTGTATCCAAATTGCATAGATCGATGCTCATGCTGTTGATCACTGGATTGTCTGTCCAGACTCAATTATTTACAGCCAGCCAGCATGTAGCTGGAATATTGCTGAATGCGGTGTAAAACTAAACTCACTCACTCATTCATAAAGTGACACATATAGACACATTTTCATCATGTTCATAATAAACAGAATGCATCTTTCCCTGTTTTCTGCCCTCCTCAGCTATGCTTGGTATGTCAAACAGAGCCTCTTTGCGTCTGGCATCTAACATGTCTACAATCTCAATAACGAACCCTTGTCAACAAACACCCACATTCTCAAACACTGCATCTACTCACCCTTGGGCCGTGGGGGTCAATCGTCATCGGGAAAGGATTTCTGGGAATCCTTGTAAACCCCTGTCCCACCCCCTGATGAATACGCCTCTGTGAAAACGTGTGACCGGGCAGCACTCGACAAACACCAAATTTGGTCCTCACAGGATGGTTGAAAACTTGTGAACTGAAAAAAGAAAGACCCATGACGTTTAAAGCATAACTTAACATTTGATCCATGCGTGACTGTTTCTACCGGACAAAACCCCCAACTCTGTGTGAAGTTTCCTGGCTCACAAATCTGGCAATAGGAATAATAAGTATTCCTAAAATGTTTGATAGTCCTTTCTCAGAAGTTGACAGATAACAAAATAAACATCATTTATGGATAAAAAAACCTTTCTAAATAGTATATTAGAGAATTTGTTATCCATAAATTGTGTTTACCTCATAATGAATCCTGTACAGTCTGAAGATTTTGTTCTGAACCCCTATGCAAGCTAGAGTTCATGGTAGCTCAAACATATTATAGTCACAAATACTACTTCATATTTCACACCTGGTTTGGGTTCGGCCAAAATTCCCCGTAAGACTTTGTCCTGTGAATGTTCTACGTCTTACCGCATATAAAATAGAGAGGTATACATTAACTACATTGGAGGAGAAAATATTCATTTAGTGTTGTACAGTCATGCAAAAAGACCTTTATCATTGGATATTACATGGGTTATTCCCAATCTGATCTATTTATAGAGCTGACTTAGGAAATATTTCAGCTGCCAGAGCAAACGAAACATAGTATGAAATGAGATTTCCACCCACACAATTTAAATCCACTTAGCTTAAACACAATTTATTGATAACTTGAATTTAAACAATAGTTATGAGAGAGCCACTCCTCTAACATTCCTATTGCAGTGTGTGCCTCAGCTTGTTGAACCAGCTGATACTGTGTAGGGGAATCCCCTGATCAGCTGTGGCGGCAGTGCACACTGGCTCATACTCGTACTGGCTTGGCAGCCACCAGCCTACAGCCTTCCCATGTCAACTGAACTCTAGTTTTCCACACAAAGCAATGATTGCTACACTCATGCTTACTAATCACCACAGCCCTCTGGCTCCGGGACATGAGGATCTGATGACTGGCAAAACTGCTACCTAAGACACTGTTTAGCCTAGTCGATTTAGTTTACGTTAACTGTATAATAAACATGATAAACAAATAAACAGAACTGATATGTATAGGTTTTCCCATACATGAAAATAGGTATTTCTTCACGTTCTATGAACATGGTCATGATTGTCACAGTGGCTGCCTCCATAGAAAGAAAGCCGGGCAATAAAGTCATTTCAGCAATAACACTTCATGGAAACAGATTTGAATAGATTAAACAGAATCATTATCCCAATATTTTTAAGTATTTCAATTTCATCTTTTTAAATAAAAACCTTTGTCAGTAATCATGATATGCTATCATAATCTGGCAGCTATTTCATACAATGTAACAGAAAATAACACACATCAAACAGGATTGAAAGATAAGATCGATTATTAATAAATTATTGAGACTTTGTCATGATCTTATTGCTCATCCAGACAAGGAAAATAAGTGTGTCAAGTCCCCTTTGTCCGACAGGCACGCTTTGCTGGCCACTATACTGTGACTCAAAGACTTGAACAATCAGGATCCCCCAACTTGACAAAGTCTGCCTTAGATCACCGGTAGCTTTCCGACATGCCATGTGAATCATGTATCCTGCCGATACAGACAGCAATCTTTATAAATGCATTCATAACTCCATTGCTACAGTTTTCATGATTTAACATAAACGCTAATGGGTGAATTTTTCAGGGTGTTGTTAACATTCTGGGTGTGGGCAATTTTCATTGTTCTCGAAACTTTAGTCCTATCAAACTGCAACAAGTCATGCGTGAAATACCCTTAAAATCACATTATATATTTTTAAGTACTGGGTTTGAAAGGAGAAAAGGGTTTCTAAACATTTCAGGTAGCATGACTTCCTGTGTCATTTCAAAAGGGTGGGTTGGGGTTTGGCACTCCCTGGAGTACCTCAGAACAACTGATTCATAGAAATCCTGTTTCAACCAAATATTGTATTTTGAAAATAATACATAAAATAATATATATTTAGGACAGCCATTTGTTTCAATTTTAAGATTTAGCATAAAACACTTCATTACCTTAGACTATGATTGTAAAAATAAAATACTATCCAAATATTCTTATAAAGTTAAAGTTCTAATTTGGTTGTAGTTATCTTTGAACATGTCAAGTTATCAATATTTTTAAAGTGTTAAAGAAATAAGGATCATATCACATAATAAATATGAATCTATAAATTCAAATGACATTTTCCTTAAACAGGTGATTCCGGGGCAGTCTGACTAACAACTACTTCCCTAAAGCCCCTTTACATGAGTGCCTGTGTGGGTGGAGTCAAATGGGTGGAGTTGAGTAATAAACTTTATTATCACCCACACAACCCATGTTTGAATGTAGTTACACCTTGAAGTAGGTCATGCTTGTCACAGATGTTACCACTAGTGTCTTCCTGGTAAACAACAGCTACTGCTGACCACAGATTCAATCAGAGCAACGCTGTTACACTCTGTTCTCAACTGAGCAGTATTATATACAATGTTGATTTAGACAGTAAATATAGTGATTTATCAAGGATTCAACATGTTGCAGTGTAATGCTCAAAATATGATAATTTCCATGACTCATTAGTCTTTTGATAGTCTCCCTGGTAACATGCAACATTAAAAAATTACTCACATGTGTTATTTATCTAGCAGTGGTATATTGATAATAAAATGAAACATCACATTTTTCAAAACAGGGTCCCAAAATATAGTACGAAAACATGTGACATCACTTACAAATACAATGAAATCATCAATCAAAAACTAATTACTATCTGTGGGAATAATCACATGCGAAATACTATTTTCAACATCCCGATTCATACAAAATGAGAAAAACAAGTTAAAAACACTCTTCGCGTTAGTTTAGGACACCTGGTTAACTCTGATTGAAACATTCAGGTCTATTATTGCTTGCATTCTATTTTATAGAAACTAAACACTCCTATTAGTGACTCATCTAGTTTTAATTCAAGTACTACATATATTTTGAACAACACGACGAAAGATCAAACTGTAGAAATTGAACATTAATTCCAACTCCGACAACAACACGAGCATCTGTCAAAATATGACAGTATGGCCACGTGGTTCCATGCACGTGATATATCTTTAGGAAGAAATCAATGAAATGGACATACCCTGGCAATTTGCCCATATTGTTGTGTCTTTGTCCTAGTACTCTCGAATTGTTTATCCGATATGAGTGAGATTTATCCATTCAAAAGAAAATCCACAATTCCGTGAAAAGATCATATGAATAGTTCCTTAAGGATTATCCACGTGATAATGGTTCAAATCCTGGATAAAATTAGAAACACAACCAAGTTGGAAATCCCAAGCGTGTGTCTCCCTCCGTACTGATCACTAAGGTTGGCTGTGAAATCTGTGTCCCTTATTCCTATTACCACTACTGTCACCCACGGTGAGACGATGTCGACACGACTGACTTCGGACCGTACTGATTCATCAACTCTTTACGGCGCCCATCATAAACTCCCTCGCACTCGTCAACGATGCCAAGGTCAAAGTTCACGCGAACGTAAACAACCTGTCGAGAGGCTGTTGTTTTCCTCGCCATTACCACACTCGACGTGGTGTCTACAGACAATCTGATGTTTTGACAACATGACAACAACGCCACCCCCATCCCTTCATCCTATTTACTGTCATTTAATCATCCAATTTAATCAAAGAAACGGAAGTAGGAAACCACACGTCAGAAATTTCTATGACGAAATCAGGTTTCCGAAGACACCATGTAAACAACATATTTCTGCGAGAAATATCACAAAACGAAGGATTCCTACCTTTATGATGGTGTTCCTTGATGAAGTTAATTCCCTTGGAACACTAATACAGCCAGTTAGATAGTCCTTTTATGAAGATATAATCCAATAATACGTGTAAAACACTATGTCCTTCGGTGACAACGCTGGTTTGTTTTGGTTCTGAAACGAATGCGGGCTGATCACATGCTATGGTGTAGGTGTTTACGTATTCGCAAGGCCAACCAATCAGCGTTCGAGACTCCGCCCATGCGCAACCTGTTGGATAGGAGAACTTGCTAGAAGGGTGTTATATAAAACCACAATTTAGTCCCTTTATTAAGATTTACACTCGGATAAATTACTTTCCCACCATAGTAAAGCATTCGAGTGGTCAACGGTAACTTAAAATCTTCAGGGGATTGTTGTACATCCATTATTTTCAGTATCAGAGAAATGGAATCCAAATCATGTCACGAAACTAAAAATAGACCATGACGTACTTGTCACGTGATCGTGACTCGGGTGAAGGTTGCATCACTTACTGTCATGGAAAATACACACGTTGAATTGTCATGAAAAATATGCAGTTCGTGAAATATCATGAGTCATCAATATAGTTGTTTTTCTAATGACCGAATGTGATTCAAGCAAGTGCCTTTCTACCAAATTTACCTACTGGATTTGGATTTAAAGCAGCGCTATATGTTTACATAATATTGACCTAATTTTCCATCGAGAGGTTTCTACAATGAACAGGCAGAAGAAAAACCGTTGTGGGGAATTGCATTAATTTTGTCAGGCCCAAACACTTTTAACGTACTCTTTGATTATCATATTAGAATCTGGTGAGTTATGTGATCATCGTTATATCAATATCTTTTGTTAAATTGTTAATCCCATTCATGCATATCCTCATACTGTTATTGTTAGTCCATCGATGTTTGAAAGTCAGTATGGTGCTGTCTTAATTAATAACGGTATAAAGATCTAACCCAAATGCCCATCATAATAGAATAAAGAAACTGTCATCCATAAAATATCTTACCTTTATTTTCAGTGTAAATCAGGACGATATACAAACAATGTTTCTGTTCACTGATATAACATTTTCATAAACTTGTTACGAATATACTACAAATGTTCACCGACACAGTATAACACTTACGGGGAATAGTAATTAATTCCATTACTTTGCTTGAAATCCGAAACCTATTACGAATTTAGGACACTTAACAGCACAGCTTGAACGCCTAAACTTTCGATTATTTCATAAAATCGAAACTGTAATAAAGATTAACTACTATTATGTCAAAGTTAATACAAGACGGAATATTTTAAAAGGAATTGCTTCCAAACAGAAATACTCACTGACTGTTTCACTGCTACCCCAATACTGATGAAAGCATGACATTGCACAATTGACATGAAACGAAACCTAAAATAGACCACGTGTCCACGTCCACGCTGTGGCAGTGTCTTGATGAGTGGACAGCACCTCTAATTACTAACATAAACAGTCCACATTTATAAAACAATCTTTGGTGAGAGTTGACTCGGATTAACAAGTACTGAGGATGGACGAATGTATCAACTGTACAATAATGTATTGACC